TTTAGCTCCTGCATGATCTAGGGATGTCCTTGACAAACGTACTGAAGTTGACTTTGACGGAGGAGACAAATGCCATATTGCTAAACTGCATAAACACCAGGAAGTGAGAAGTGTGGATGTGTAAGTGAAATTCTCACAGTTCATTTTTATTACTTTACGCAATTCCATTAACATTTTCTGAAATTGTAGCAAATTGTTGAATGATGAAACATATGGCATTTGAGTATGCCACGTGAGAGATACTATTTAGATAGTGAATATTTGCAGAAATGTGTAGCATTATATTACCAGAAGGCTCTGTTTAATGAGAGAGGAACACTTATTCTTTTACAAATATGTAAGTTATAAATATATACTAATATATATATGTATATATATATATATCTGTAAACCCTGATAATCTGTCACAAGCAATGTATTTGCAAATAAAACATTATGTAAATAATGCTATGCCACATTCAACTCCTCTTTTAAACATACGAGAAGCAGATTTCTTACAGCAACAGAAAAGCTGAAGTCTAGATGGTGATTCATACAACTTTAAATCTTTTTTTTTTATATCCGAGGACATTTTTTCATTTTTTGTTCAGATAAAGTGGGAGGGAGAGAGACAGAGAGAAACATCGACGTGAAAGGGACACATCGAGTGGCTGCCACCCACACGACTCGACCGGGGCCAAGGACAAACTGCAACAGAGGCACATGCCCTTAGCAGGAACCGAACCCGGGTCTCTCTGGACCACAGGCCAATGCTCTAACCGCTGAGCCAAACCGGCCAGGGCCAAGTTTAAATCATTTGATTTTAATATATTGTATATGTAATGTTATATACAACCTTACTTCTTAGTTGACCGTTTACATTAATTTTACTATTACATGAAAATGAGGTTTGACCCTTGTTTCTTTAATACTTATTCACTGGTGATTACACTTTCACTGGGAGCCTCCTATACTAGCACACAGCCTTAGGCATCGTATTTGCACACCAATATGTACACACATATTTCTCATCCCCGAAATGAATGGAGTCACTTTCTAAGATCCCTTCTAGCTAACAAATAACATGGTAGGATTTCCAAATAACATAGGTGACTATACTAGGGTTTCCACATTATAAGATAGACATTATCCCTTCGAAACACATTAGAACACTGTAAGAAATCATCTCCTCCATGGGGAACTTTAGTTTGGGGAGATTAAATAACTTGTTTAAAGTCTAAAAGATACTGAATATCTAAGTCTCTGGATTATAATATGTATTCTATTACTACACCACTGATTTTCAAATATTTTTATCAAAGATACATTGTTAAAATGATATACTATGAGAAATCACAATTTAAAAACAGATCAAGTAGCGTTTTTATTAGTACGTTTACTTTTATAAATTAAAAATGAAAATATTTACTTATGAGGTTAAAAAATAAAGAGGCAATGTTTTCTAAACATAAAAAATAGAAGTAAAATGTTATGGAAAAAGTTTCAGCCTTTTATTCATTTATTTACATATGTTTTTATTGATTTTTTAGAGAGCGAGGAAGGGAGAGATGGAAACATCAATGTGAGAAAGAAACATCCATCGGCTGCCTCCTGCACGCCCCATGTAGGGGATCGAGCCCACAACCCGGGCATGTGCCCTGAGTGGAAATCAAACCGGGACCTGTCAGTCCATGGGAGGATGTCAATCCATTGACCACACCAGCCAGGCAACACTTTCAACCTTTTAATGATTTCTATCCCCGTTTATTTCTATACTGTGTTGAATTTGTGGTGACAAGAAACCCTTTATTTATAAAGATAAGTCATTGTATATGGAAACAGTTCTTTTAAACAGAACACCTCATAATCTCAAGATGCTCTTCAATTAAATTTATCCAGAAACATAAAATGTGATTAGAATGTCTATTTATATGATAATAATTTAGAATACCGAACAACTCACTTCCCTGATATTAAATACCTCATAATGTTATCAGTATTTCCATATGCATTTTGTGATATGATGATGACATTACATGTACATTTGCAATGACTTTTGCTCAGGTCCAAGGACACAGCTGAGGCGGCAGACCACAGCCTGTCTCACAGGACTTAAATTGTGACAAACAATGTCCTATGTGAATATTATTTCATTCTGCCACATAATTTCAACCTGGAAACATGACTTGGCACAACTTAACTGATGTGAGGCCTCAATAAATGTTAATTATCATCAATATACTCCTGCTTTTCTGAAAAATGGTTGGATCATATATGTTTATACTGGTTTACCACTGAGAATAGATAAAAGTATGTCAAACAAATGTGCATTTTGAGTTGAAGTTAGATTTGATTTTATCCTCATAGTCAAAATATTTTCAGGATAAAATTTTGTTGTATTTTTCTTTGAAATAATCTTTTCTTGAATAAATGCAGATTAGTAGAGAGCCGTGCATCCCTGTCCTTATTTTGATTTTGTTTTGCTCTCTGCTTGCACTTCTTTCCTTGTTGAGATGAACGTGATTTCTGGTCTGACTGTGATTTTCACATCTCTGTGCACGCCCTCATTAGACTCTGTGTTTGCTCTCCTCCGTTCCTCCAAATTTTGATATAGTTTAACCTTTTTAAATGACTCTTCATGTAAATGACTTCTCTTGTACAGAATTTCTCATTATTAAATGAGAAAAAAGGCTTATGACATTAATTTGTCAAACAGAATTAAAATTAATTATAGTATCTTTCTTAAAGAAATGATCAAAGGGATGGGAAGGTCAGGTTGAAGTTATATGCCCTCAAGTTTTCAATATTTCAAATATGCACCCCTATGTTCATTACAGCACTATTCACAGTAACCAAGACATGGAAACAACATGTGTCCTTTGATAGAGAACTGGATACAGAAAAGGTGGTACATATATACTATGAAATACTGCTCAGCATAAGAAAAGATGAAATACTTGCAACAACATTGATGGACCCTGAGAATACTATGCTGAGTGAAATAAGTAAGTCAGAAAAAGCTAAGAACCATATGATTTCACTCATATATGGGATATAAAACTGAAACTCATAGATACAGACAACTGTATGGTGGTTACTGGAGGTAAAGGGTGTGGGGGTTAGTAAAAGCTCAAGAGGCCAAATATATGGTGATGGAAGATGATTTGACTTTGGGTAGTGGGCACACAATGCACCATACAGATCATGTATCACAGAATTGTACACTTGAAACCTATATAATCTTATTAACCAATGTCACTCCAGTAAATTTAATTTAGAAAAGAGAAATTATATGCCCTCAACTGAAGTGGTTTCATTAACAGGGCCCCTAGTTTATACTCTTTGTCTCTTATGTTTCTGATTGTCCCGCCCTTGATTCTCATGAGTTACTATTAGTGAGCTACCAAGAATATAACAGTCATGAAGAGAAAAAAACAGGTTTGTTGTACCAAGGACTTTAAGACGATCTTTACTTGTATTGACAATAAGATAGGTATGATATTTAGTTAAAATCAGGTTTCCTGACTAAGCCTAGAGAAGAAATCGTGCTGTATGACAAGGATAGTAAAAAGCAAAAGGCAACATATTTCATAATGGCAGTAAAATATATTTCTATTATTAGTTGTTCAGCATTTCAAAAAAGTTGAACTTACATTATTAGAAAGGATAGCCAAAAGTTTTAAAATTTTGGTGTTCAAAACGTAAGGACATAAATACTTAGATGCTAGCTCAAGATAATAAAAAGAGATTTAAGGATGAGAAAATGTTTATGAAAACAAATTAAAACACCTTTAGCAATATGATGTCAAGGCAAATTTTGTATATCAAAAAGCATAAATTGAAAGTAATAGGCTGTCACATTATAAAATGAAATTCTCATAGTTGGGATCTTTTATTCTGTATAGAATTTTAAAAATTATTTTTGAATTCTAGTGGACCATAAGTGCCTTAATGTCTAAAACAGTTTTAAAGAGTTCATTATTAGTAGTGTGGTTCATATACTAGTCTATAACTAGAACACAAAGTTACTTTAAGGCAAACTCAGTGTATTCTAGATTTCAGCTATGTGATGGCAATATGGCGAAACCACTCTCAGAAAACACATGCTTGTCGTATGTCTCTATAATTGCTACAAAATTTCTGGACTACAGAATTAATATGAACCATTTTTAAAATAAAACATTATATACACATCTTCACCTAAAGTAGCTATCTCTACAACTCGGTCTACCACAAATTATTATCAAAGTTTTAAAAAATTCTCAAAACTTAAAAAAAGTTTAAAACATGTATCACACTAGCAAAAAAAAAATTGTATTATCCAATAAGAGCTATACAGCTTTTACTTAGAAAAGGCTATCATTTACGATAAAGATATAACTGCAATTTTAACATTCTAAGTAGACAATTAGAATCATTGTCTGTGGTTATTCATATAATTTGTTATACTATTATCATCAGCAAGTATATACTATTTTCTCAGATTGATGATAAACACAATCAAATAATTGCACAGAGATGTAATTGCCACAATAGGATAAATACAGACATATTTCAAATAAATTGTAAAATCTAGGGAATCGGGTAATTTGACAAATTTTTATAAGACTAAGTTATTCCATTAAAAATGTTTCAATTTTATTTTGCCAAACTTTGGTTCTTCTTTTCTCAGCCATTTTGCCTTCAGAAAAACCAGTTTACTTACCTTGGATGGTGATTCCGAGGGATCCACGGTTTTGCGTGGTGCCTCTAGGAACTTGTGTATTAACACCCACTCACCTGCTCTATTTTCCTTCCTTCCCATACAGAATAAATATTACGCTGTCATAATAGGACATATGACACAAAATATAATGCAGTATATTCTAATACAACAGTAAGAACAGAAATTTATATAGGAGAAAACACCAGAAAAAACTGAAGTGGAAACAAAATAGTTTCAGCACAAATATTAAAGGTATTAGACTGATCACAAATATTAAAGATATTAGACTGATAGCTAATATTAAACAAAATCCTACCTGATGAATCAAAGTTCACCTCATTGCCAGGACTTGGGCCTACATCGATGGACACAATTGGTAAGAGTTTCCGAAAGTCCCAAAGTTTTGTGACTCCACAGGAATCGCAGGATGCTATTACATGACCCTTTAAAGAATACAAAACAAAAAGAAATGTATATACATATATACAAAGTCATGTGGCAACTCACTCAGAGATTTGTGTTACAATTTTATTAAATCCACAAGAATAGAATCCTCTAAACTTAAAGGTATCAATTATAACGTCAAAAACATAAAGTTGTTATAAAATGGTAATTTAAATCTATGAAATTCTATAGTAAATTTTGGATAATTATTTTCAGGAAATCATTCATTTTGATTAGTTACAGTAGAAGATACATAATAAAATAAAAATACACACACCCATGTAATTTATCTATGTACCTATACACATATCATGTGTACAGAATAAGGCAAAAGTAGGTTTACAGTTGTTCGTATGAAAAATAATACAATTATTAATAAATAATAATACAAGAATAAACTCTGTGTTTCATGTATTTGCAACTGTAAACCTACTTTTGCCCCACCCTGTGTGATATATGGGATCTGCACATACAAGCTGTACACATGAAAACATTTAACTAAGAGGGCAACTCACTTCATGTGCTGCAGTCATTTAATACTGATCATTTTATACCTCAGGCAGAGTCAAACTAGAAACAGAGGAAGGAAAACAAAGAAATATGGGGGAAGAAGAGTTTCTAATCATGGAAGGTAGACTCACTAGGGTCAGGTGAAATTGATGGCAAGGAAACAGTGTCTATTGTGGTCTATTAGACAAAATTCCTAGAAATATTTGGGGCTTTGGGGTTACATATAGTAAGATAAGGATGAAGGTAATTGGATAAAGAAGATGAAGAAAAAAAAGGAAGAGTGAATGGATCCAACTTCTATGGCAACAGGAACTGATCACTTCCCAGTACAGAGCGCAGCTTGGATACATCAGTCCCCAGCTCCAGGTCTCTCTAAGCCCCATGCTCGCCTCACAGACGTTTGGTGAGCATCCACCTCGTGTCAGGGACCACAATGTAGTCATGACTAAGAGGGGTGTCTGTTCTCCAGCACCTCATAATCTATACTCATTCTCATCATTCTGTCATTTAGTCTCTGTCTACTTACCAATTAAATATGAGTATTGGCCACATCTGGCCATAAAAAATGTTCATGATAAGTCGTTTTCCATTCAATGTATAGTATCTCTTTCAGCTCTAGCTTAATTTTTTAATGTCAAATCAAAAAATCATACTCTCATTTTCTTCCTAAATTTTCTAAAATGTTATAGATAATAAATGGACTATTGGTACAATTTTCCTCACCACTTTTAACTAGCTCACAAATATTTCTCATTTACTACTTGATTTCTATGCTTTCTGTCAAAAATGTGCTTCTTGTGTTACACTCCAAGTAGACTCTGTTTTTCCCAGAACACACCAGTAATGCAACAAATGCCATTAGTTTTAAAATTCTAAAACTGTAGTCACAGGTGAAGCAATACAACAACCTTGTCCCCAATTTAATAAATGTGATATTTAATCTTTTTTGTGACTTAAAAGGAACATGGAGAACTTGGATTATTTTCAAATATGTAAACATGTATTGTAAGAATTTTGAAAAATCAGTGAATTTAATTTTCAGAAAAGGAAAGTTCTCAGGATTATCAGGGAATATTAATGTTAGAAATTAGAATGAAGTCTTTTCAGAGATAAGGTCTTCTAAACATCTTTCAGGAGTAAAAAAAAAAAAAAAATCTCCTTTCAATTCTGGGACCAGAATAAATTTTAATTAGAATTAAATTTAGATGCAGTTTAAACCAAAGGCAGGTTATGGAAAGGATGACCTTTTCTTGTTTGGATGTTATGAACTAAAGATAATCTTTAAAAAAAAATTTCTTTTTCTTTATTGATTTTGGAGACAGAGGAAGGGCGAGGTAGAGAGAGATAGATGAAATATCGATGAAAGCAAACATTGATTGGCTGCCTCCTGCATGTCCCCCACTAAGGATTTGGCCCACAACTTGGGCATGTGCCCTGACTGGGAATCCAATTGGTGACCTCTTGGTGCATGGGTCAATGCTCAACCACCGAACTAAAGATCATCTTATACTAATGAATATTAAATTTTGAGGAAATACACTTAAAAACAGTTCAATCACTTTTGGGGTGAAAATAAGTATTTAAATATTTTTAATATTTTTATATTTAACTTTTACTGATGTCAAATGACCAATGTATAACTGTTTGATAATATTAAAATAATAGTCAATACTTATTAAATGCTTTCAATGAATCAAACAGTGTATTAAGTGCTTAACTAATAAAAAGAATAGATATTATTTTAGCCAATTTTCAATAACATCACTTAGCCAGAATTTTCCTTTTCCCAAGAGCGTTAGAAGCCAGGGCAAAGTATGCATTAGATAAAATAAATATACTAACGCATTAAGTGATAGAAATAAGTTTGTGTTCAGATTTGATAACCAAGAGAGAATTGGTAGTGAAGGAACAACTTAGCCGCACTTCCACTGAGCCAGTGAGGCAAATTCAGTGCCTCTGGCAGTGTCTGGAGCATAGTAGACCAAAAAAAATATTTGCAAAACCAATAGATGATGAATGCCTCAACAGAGTTAACCTAGAAGACTCACTTTAGTCCAAGTCCTTCCATAATAGTCTGATGGTTCAGAATTACTTAGGAAGAAATTGAAGAGAGAGACGATGCAGAGAGTACAGAACTGAAACTTGGAACATACTCAAGGACATGCTTCTCCTTTCTCATGCAGAATGGAAGCCCATCTGTCAATCAGTCCCTTCCACAGGGCGTTCGCAGATACTGGAACATTGCTAATCTGAACAGCATAGTGAGTTTTTAGGGATTTAGAGATGGAGAGATGTGGGAAAAGGATTAGCTGACCACCTGGGGAAAAACAAATTTTTTGTTTAGGTAAGAAAAACAAAGGTTGGCTACAGTTAAGGGCTAACCCTAAATGAAGAAAGATAGATTTCAAAGAAAAAAAAAAATCGAGAGCTATGTGATTATGTGCAATAATCCCATTTTACAGATGAGGAAAATGAGATTTAAAGAGGTCAAGTGACTTTCCTAAAATTACCTAGAGAGAATGATTTGGAGTGAGAATTCAAGCACAGATCTGGTTGACTTCAGAGTCTGAGATTTTAACAAATATATTCTATTTTATTTATTGAAACATATACCATAATATATCATAACTGTTTACATATGTTGAATATATTCCCCTATTAAGATACATTTAAATAAGTCAATAACTCATCAATATTTGTCACAAAGATGGTTCTCACATTATTATTTATAAGATGAAGCAGTAGAAATATAAGAAAATGATTCCCATTGGATGTATAGATAGATAAATAGACATGCATGTGTATATATATACATACATATTTAGAACTATAATATACAATTGCATAACTAAACGATTATGTAAGCTGTCATAATGACATCTCCAAATATTAATACAAGAGAAAACATACATAAGCATTTCAATGAAAGAAGCAGCAAACACAATTGTGTACATTGCATGACACACACACAGAGCATATGTTGAAATTCATAGTGGGTGGGAACTAAATTAGAAATGATTGTCTTTAGGTGGTAGGATAAATCACTTTGATTTCTTTGAGCACTTTTAAAATTCAAATCTAATGGAATCAGCAAATATTAATTGTTTTCATCAGAAAAGCATTTTTGAATAAATAAATAATGAAATCAAAACATCATACACAATACCTGTCAAGTGACCTAATTTTCATAACTTAAAATTCTACTTTGTAAAATGGGCAAGAAAGAGAGTTCATCAAGCAAATGGCTGAAACATTAAAGCCCTAAAACATCAGCTGCTTTCAATATGTGAAGGTAATGACCTGCAACTTGGTATTAAGGTATAACTATAGTAAAATGTTTAGGCTCATTAGCAGAAAAATTAGCATTTCAAACATTTTTAGTATACTGATACATTAGTGTGTCTCCTAGGACAGGCCCGTGCAGCATTAGGCATTCGCTCATTACACCATTTCTTCAGTACCCTAATGGCACAAATAAGGCAAAGAAATTATGGAATTAAAATGGAAATAGAAGGTAAAATATGGGAATGCTCAAGGAGGTCACGGCTAAAGAAAAAGGGACTAATAAAGCCCTGGGAAGATGCAGATGAGGTTGCTGACGTCAGTATATACTTCTTCCCTATGCTATTGTCAACATGTTAGACATTAACAGTTTATATCATCAATCATGCCCCAGGTATATGGAAGCCAGCCATCTCAAAAATAATTACTTATCATCTATAGTACACAACATTACACTAGCTAATCCCAATAACTTGTTCAAAGTGATTTATATTTATTATCTCATTTAATCCTTCATCTTTATGGTGAGATTTTATGGTCCTATTATTCAGATGAGAAAAACAAGACTTGCCATGTTATAAAGCCTGACCAAAGTCATTTTGTTAGTAAAACATAGACCCAGGATTCAAACCCAGTCAATCTGAATTAAGTGTCCAAACTCTTCAGCAATTAACAAGGAAAATATTTTGCAAGCCGCGATGGAGGCGCTTTGGGGAATGGAAGCCAATGAAGTAGCACTGAGGAGCTAAAAGAGCATATTCTGGTATTAAGGCAGAACACCCTGAAAGAACTAATAGTACTTTAACAAAATATCAGCAAATACGTATTAGCAAAGAACCAACTGAACAAGCAGGTATTTAAATTCACAAGGCAGAGGATAGTTAGGAATAGATGAAGGCAATTAATGTATATAAAGAAAGAAATATTTACTGAGCTATACTATGTGCCTGGTCTGGGGCTAAAAGCAAGACCGAGGAATAATCAAGCAATGACTACAAGGCTCAATGGCGGAAGCAGGTACAGGGTCATTTATCTTAAAAATTGAACACCTGACTTGAGCCCATGGGACCAGAGGTTTCTTCTAGAAATGCAGCCCTAGGAAATGTCCATCCAGTGAATGCAGCTTTCTAGAAACGATAACATTTTAAATAGATTAAGATTACAACCAGATATCATTAAAGGCAAGGTAGGAGGGGCACCCTTAGTA